TTCTACCAGTTAGGGCAGTACTCTTTTCATCTCCAGAATAATAGCAGTCAGTGTACTCAGCATACTGAAGAATATATGCAATTAATGAGAAAGAGGAATTGTTTGAGTAATCAAATGAAATAATGAAATTCTGAAGCTAAACAATTTAATAAATATACCAAAATGTCCTGCACAAAAGGACGTAGAATAGGTAAACGCTGTGCATCCATCAATACATCAAGGCCTTGTTTGTTTGGGTGGACATGAGCTTGGGATTGGATTAATAGTCCAATAAAATTATTAATCCGATCTTTGGTTAAACAATTGAAGTACAGACTAATTATTTTAAACTTGACTATTAGTTAAGATAGGATACATAATCCAATGGATTCGTAGTCCTAAGACTATTAGTCATGAGAATGCTAATCCAATCCGCTCAAACAAACATGGCCCAAGTAGAATGCCTTCACGTAACATTCCCATATCTCCAAACTTCAATATAATCATGGAAGGATCAAATGACAATGAGAAACTGGCAAGCAATTGTCCATAGAATGTAGGCTCGTACGGACCCCTATGAGATGTTTTCTCCAATGCATTGATGTGATCGAGCAAACTCAATGCTTCTTCAACAACTTCTGGATCTGGAGGATCCATAGCCTTCTGCAACAAGACTACAATGTCAAAATGTCTCAATAATTAGGGGCCTTATTCATTCTCATGCAGACAATTACCACATGCAAAGGCAATTAGCATAGCATAGCATAGCATAGCAGACAACAAACTTTCAGTTACTCCTAATCTTGCAACAAAAAGTTGTAACACAAACTTTCTAGCAAGGCCAGAGTAATCTTAAATCATGTTTACATCTTCTCACAAGATCTTAAAAACATCATTTTCACCTATTTCACTAACTTATACTTTCGAGAACCATACCAGTTAGAACCCCAAAAGTGGGAGATTAACAAGATCAACATAACTACCAAATAAATATGTCACAGTAACTTGCTAAATTCCTTAAAGACAGTCGTTAGATATGCCAGGTTCAATATTATCATTCAAGTTAGGGCAACAATCTTGGGTGGGTTAAAAACCAGGCTTGAGCAGGTTGGCAATAGTGCAACCCAAGACTGTCTCAGGTGCAAGGTGCGCTCTGAACACAAGTTCAAAATAGGTCCAGGGAGACAGATATGTGGTTGGCTGTGTTGTAATCAAATAATTACCTTTTTCCAAACATCATTCATGAATATTCTCTTTACGCAGTACAGGAATTATAGGTTTTGACGACGTTTATTTAACGGCGTTTTATGAAACGTCACATTTTATACTATTTAACGGCGTTTTTTAGCCGTCATTTTTGTTTAATGTTAAAGCGGCACCGTTTCACTATCTACCTAGTTAATACACTTGTTCACTCATCAGGGGATGCCTTAATCTTTACTCACTCATCAGTCTACCGTTCGTTCTCTCTCTCTCTCTCTCTAAACAGATACCCTAATCTAATCTCTCCCAGCAGAATGCCCTAATCTCTTCCAGCAGAAATCAATGGATCAATTTCGATTTTGATTTCATCTGAATCCTTACACCTTCTCTGATTTCGATTTCATCTGAATCTCTGATTTTGATTTCGATCTCGAAGCTCCACCGCCACCACCATCTGCACCAACGAGGTAGGTGAGCTCTCTCTCTCTCTCTCTCTCTCTCTCTCTCTCTCTGTGTCAACCCTCTCTAAAAGCTTATCATTCACAGAGATTCAGATCAATCTCAGTGATTTCATCTCAGAGCGATTTCGATTTCGAAGCTCCAAAACACCATCTGCACCATCGTCTACTAATGTGAGCTCCATCATCTCTCTGTCTCTCTCTGAAACTCTTCATTTCGAATCCTATTTCAGTGATGTAATGGAAACATATCTCTCAATTCATTATTATGATCTTCAATAAAGCCTTATAAAGACTTTGGATGTGGAAGAACTTGTATTGAAAATAGAAAACAGTGATTCAAAAACACTTGAATTAGTGATCTGTTGTGGATAATAATCAGATTAATACTTGGATACTAAGCTCCTTTTTTTCGTGAAAATCATTATATAGGAAGTTTCATTGAGAAGTATGAGTATATGAGCTTCTCTATAAACACTGCAGCATTGCAATTGTGATATTTTTTTTCTTAGTTAGCAAAAATAGCCTTGACTGTTCAAGTCAATGTGAGATGTGTGTTTCAAAAAACCTTAATCGGTCATCTATTCAGATTAGTAATTAGCATTTTTTTAAAAAATATTTTTATCATTGAATTGCTTATTATTATTATTATTATTATTATTATTATTATTATTATTATTATTATTATTATTATTATTATTATTATTATTATTATTATTATTATTATTATTATTATTATTATTATTATTATTATTATTATTATTATTATTATTATTATTATTATTATTATTATTATTATTATTATTATTATTATTATTATTATTATTATTATTATTATTATTATTATTATTATTATTATTATTATTATTATTATTATTATTATTATTATTATTATTATTATTATTATTATTATTATTATTATTATTATTATTATTATTATTATTATTATTATTATTATTATTATTATTATTATTATTATTATTATTATTATTATTATTATTATTATTATTATTATTATTATTATTATTATTATTATTATTATTATTATTATTATTATTATTATTATTATTATTAGCTCCCAAACCCCTTAGGCTCTGAGCCGTTTCATCCTCAATCATGGAAACTGAGAAGTTATCCCCCAAGCACTCCTGTACGATCTGAGGATCTGAGAGTAGACAAGCCAGTGCTACCCCCATCTCAAGCTTTGTGCTCTCGGAATCCTCCTCCTTGCACTGCTCAGCCTCTTCGACACTTTGAATAGGAGTTTGAATGCTAGAGGTATACGGGAATTGTCGGGTGCTATCAACAACACCCCTATCCCATACCCGTATTGGTTTGACGCTCTATCAAAGTACATCGTCTAGGTCTCATCTTCGACATACAAAATGCCCTCGTCTGGGAATAGATACTCAGCTGTTTCATCCCCTTCAACTGGGTTATCAACTGAAAGCCAGTCAATGGTGGAAGACAATGAAGCATAGGGTGGAGCACACTTGCACTCATGCCTTTTAGGAGATGTTTTTACGTCCTATTGCTGGGAAGAGGTTGAGAAAATAATTTTAGGAACAAAGGCAACTAGATACACCTATGACAGAATTTGAGACCACCTTCATGAGTTTGGTACGTTTTGCAGCCGAGCTTGTGGCGATAGAGGAGTGTTGGAGTTTGAAAAGAGGTTAAGGCCAAAGATTTTGATAAAGGTTATTGGCAACATGTTTAGGGAGTATGATAGTACCCTTAAAGCCACATCTCATGTGGAGATATATATATATATTTAGGCTCTTATTTATTCTCTTACTTTTGTCATTGTTTATCTTATATATAATAGTTAGTGATTGATTTTTTGTATAATATAAAGTCATTAATTATTAAAATAAAATGTAAAAAACTCAGTTTATAGTGATTTAAAAATATGAAATATATTGGATCATACTTAAAAATTTACAAAAATTTATCAATATTTATTTTTAACCCAATAAATATGATCATGGAAAAAAAATATCCGTATCGGTAAGTTTTTTTCAAATTATATGAAAAATAAAAAAATTCACGGTTTCGGTTACCGCAACCGTTACACTACGACCTTTACACCCCGCAACCGCAACTGTATCACCGCCACCGTTACGGCGACTGCAACCGCTTTTCAGAACCTTAGATAGGATCAAAAAAATAATTGATATGCCTTTTATTGTATAAATAAATAAATAATTTTTTTTGTGTGTAATTTAGAAATTTCTTCCACTCATAGGCATTATATTTCTTCCTGATTTGTCAACATGTTGACTCTGCATTCCTGAACTGAGAATAAAAATTGATATGCCTTTTATTGCTTGAAATGGAGATTGTTTATAAATACTTTTGATGTAATCACGTTCAATTCGATACCTTCTTATTGTAAAGTTAGAATTTTATTTGTGTTACAAAGTTGATGTTGTGTTAGAATTTAAATCTGTTATGGATTTAAAACAGACTGAGGTGGCTTCTACTGATTGGTTAGTGTTGTGGGCCGACTTTAGTATTGACCAAATAATGCAAGCCACCTCAGACGATTGCAAGTCAGCCTTGAAAAGACTATGTTCTCACATTATGTCAATGATCCCATGTCTTTCTTTTTGAGGATGGTGACAAAGTCCATTTGTTGGATAACATGGAATCATATGAAATGAAAAGAAATTTTAGGAGGAAATACGGACCACATAATTATTCGAATTAAGAAGAAAAATATTATTAGCATATAAAATTGAGGGTAATAAAGGAAGGAGCACCAACTTTCTTAAAATTAAAGAATATATGTCTAGTGTGGTTTAATTTCTCTATCAAGATGGTGACAAGTCCATTTTTGTGGTACTATGGAGCATGGAATCACATGATGGGAAATAAAGTTCTAATACAAAAGTTGGTCTTTGTTTCGTCTAGCAATTCATAGGTTTCATTTTCTAATTTCTGTCATGTTGAAAATCTCCTAGCACATTATCAGTTTCTACATTTCCAGATGAATAAACTATTTGTGCTTGGAATGCATGAGAATGGCAGTGGAGAACTTAACTAGGTGACCTGCCCCAACCCAACCCATATCTATTTACATATATAGTTATGGTCTGGTTAATATTACTTTTTCAGAACCAGGATTGGCTCATGGTTTGGGCTGTGATGTGGATGCTTTTCAATATGATCAAGTTTCGTAAGCCTTGCACGACTTGAGATAACATGATGGTAGCAAAGCAAAGCAACAACTTGATCCTCGTGCTGCTGCTGCTAATTTCCCTTCAGGTAATGGACTTTCTAATTTTACCATCAGATTCTCAAGTATTCATCACTGTTGTTTAGCTGGCTCTCGGATGTGCTTACAGCTTGAAAGTGCAAATAACATTTTTAAAAATTGGACATGTCAAGTGTGCAAGCATATTTGGCTGGGCTTACATTCGCATTAGCCGTTTCACCTTGCAGCATTGCTGTACTGGCAACCCTGCTTGGATATGTAGCTGCATCCAAGGTACTTTTAAATGTTTATTGATTTCAATTTCCATCTGAATTATTACCTTTTCAGACTGCTTTATACTGATCGTTCTGGGCCTATAATGATGGCTTAGCACTCTTATCTCTATCTCTCATGTTTGGATGCATCATATATGCTATACATTGCATTTGAGCTTCTAAACCTATTATTTAATTACATAAGAAGCAGGTCAACTTAGTATGACTGCATTTATCTTAACATTCACAGTTGAGGGAGCAAAATTGGCACAATATTGGTGGGGCCAATATTTGTAATTTTATAGGAAACGCAATTTACAAGCAGCTCTATTTTTTTTATTTATTATACTTGTTTATTTGCTACTATAGTTGAATCATCTTCTTGGTTAGTTTTGTGGTAAATTGGTAAAACATTTAGGATGATGAATTTTTAACTGATCTGATTTCTATGCCAAATCATCATCTAGGGCAAGGGGCATCGTGTTATGACAGTTTCCCCACGTTACGACCAGTACAAAGATGCATGGGATACTCATGTTCTTCTTCAGGTAAATTCTATTTTGTGCTTGTTTTGCCAAATTCCAACCATTTCAATGCAAGGTTAGGTTTTACTATATACTAGTCTAGCGAATGATTCTTGGGATTAGTTTCTTCAAAGATAAGTTTCTATATTGCAGATAAAAATTGGAGACCGAATAGAGACAGTTCGCTTCTTCCACTGCTACAAACATGGAGTTGATTGTGTTTTTGTGGATCACCCAATGTTCCTGGAAAAGGTTTATTTCTGTCCTCAATCAACTGTTCTCGTATTTAGGGGTGAACTATATATACTTTAGCTGTAATAGTCAGCTTGATCTTCATCCATAACAAATGATGGGTATGTATGGAGATTATCAGCCCATAAGAAGCTGGATCATAAGAAGCTGGATCATCCCATAAGAATGGGGCAAATGGATATATTATGAGAATGACTTTGTTTTGGATATATTTGTTGAGATCTGAATGGGGCAAATGGATCATTATGAGAATGACTTTGAAGCAGATATGCTGAAAGATACCGCGGCTTATTATTCTCGAAAGGCTTCAAACTGGATCTTGGAAGATTCCTGTCCAGATTATATGTTGAAAGTAAACATCTATTCATTTTCTTTTTTTCTTGTTAAGGTCAGATATATTTGTTTGATAATCCTATATAATTTCTAAAAAATCCTTTTGTAACTCTAGGCTGAGGAGTGTTTGAAACGAGAGAAGGATAGGGTTGCTCATTACCTACATTCTAGTAGCGAGCTGAAGTTGCTTGAGGTTTGTTCTTCCTCTTGTAAAGTCATACTAAATTTCTTTCCACCTAATAATAATTAGTCTTTTAATGGTTACTTCTTTTATTTATTTATTTATTTTGAGGCCAATTTTGAAGATATGCACTTCTGCAGTTATAATTATGGGTAATTTTGACTCCTTATTTCCATATAACTTTAAGTACTTATAACAGAAATTAGTATTTTTCCCTCCAAAATTCATTTAATTTTGTTATAGTCTTTCAAAATCTAAATAAGTTTATTTTGACTCCTTTTTGCACAATTTTGCTTATGTGTACATCTTGCGTTCTCATCATTTGATGACAGCATGCCTAACACACTGCTACTGTAGTTATTCAATTGTTTAGAATGTGACCCACATCACACAAATAAATTTACACCATATATTGAAATCATGAACCTTTTTTTTTTTTTTTTAAAGTAAATAGCTTTTTTTTTCTCATGTTCAACCTGCTCTCTTCCATTTAGTTTATGAAATTGCAAATTTTAATATATAGCATAAGGATGTGACCAAGAGGTCTGCAGAAGAAACCTGTGCTCTCACCAGTCAATCAAGACACTATCACTCCACTACCTTCTGAATCGGACACCATGGAACCCAAAGAAATGGTACTATCAGATGAAGAAAAAGAGAGGAACTCAGCAGAAGAAGAGAAGCTGGAGGAGTCGCCCATCGACGAGGAAGCTGCCCACAATTCCTCTATTGTTCCAGCCATCTCTATTGCTGTCCGCCAATTTGGTCGCTTTCTTCGTGAACTATCTCACAGTACTCAATCCGCTGCTGTCGTCGCTGCCTCAATTACTGAGGTTTGTTGGCACATAGTGAAGGTATAGGTATAGTGGTTGCAAATTAAAACCACCCCCCAAAATAACATTCAAATTAACTGTCTAGTTTTGTTAATCACTCTGTTTTTAGTTTTTCTAGAGGGAACCTCTGAGTTCTATGGAAACTGATATAATATATTTTTCTCTTCCATGGAAACCAGGGCATCTCCAACACCATCCATGCCCAAAACGTACTTTTTCTAGATTTTTATGTGTCTTTTATGATATTTATGTAATCTGATCTTTAATTGTTGAAGTGGGTTTTGTTTTGTGATTTTTTTTTTTCAATTGTGTGGGTCATATTCATATACAATAAATACAGCTTTGTATAATATTGGCATTTGGCAGGGTTGGTGGTGATGTTGAGGAAGTTCTTCCCCCTGTTCTTGATTCTAGCTCTGACCCACCTCCTCTTTTTGATGGAACCACAAGGTTTGCTCGTTTTCAAAATCTCACTCTTACCTTTATCTCCATTACATGTGTATTTCTATTCTATTATATAAATTGCAGGTGTGAATGCTGTCACGCTTTTTCTTTTTGAATAATTTCTTTTCAATCTAGTAATTGTCACATCTAATAATTCTGTTCATCAAATCGTTAGAAAATGTGCTAATTAATTTTTCTCTTTCATCAAACTATCCGAGAATGTAAATATAAAATTATAAATGCATCTCACCGTTAGTTTGTATAATTTGTTGGGTAGTGTGAATCCCATAATTAATAGACACTAACCATTCAATTGCGAATTTCAACCATAAATTTGGAAGATGGCTATTATTATTATTTCCGCACTTATGACCTATTGTCTTAATTTTTAAAGAATATATAGTCGAGAGGAGACATTATCAGTGAAATGAGAGCAGCCGTGGACATAACCTAGTTTTGGGGGTGACGTTTGTGTTCTTTGTGTCTGTGTGTGATTTATCATTCATGTGCATTTGTTCTTCTTTTCCATCTTAAATGTGTGTGATTTATTATCACTCTAGACCCTGCTGAAAAGTGGGTGCTTGTGCATTGGGTACATCCTTTTCGAGTTATGTATAGAACAGCTTTATATGACACATACATTTGTGAGTGGATTAAAATTTAGCCTACATTTTAGCAGAATATATTTGCGATGCAATTTTGTGTGCTAAAACATCAAGACAGATGAAGCAAATGATTTGGTTATCAAATTCCACAGGACACACTATCAATGTCTGAACTTTGAATCATGCCAAGTTAATATGTTACTATCACTGTTTGAAATTTTTTGCTGGTTTTCAATTGGGATACATGTGTGTGTGTTTCACGTTTGTGTGTGTTTCTGCGTGTTCTCATGCATTTTCTGATCACCATGTTCCATTTTTATTTCCTGAAGGTTGTACACCTCTTACATTTGTCCAATGCGCAGCGTGTTTGGATTGCATGTGTTAAATTTTATGGATAATTTTTCTGCTCTACTATTTCTTTTCTTTTTTCTTTTATTCATGTTACTGCAATTCTCGATTTGAAATTTCTTTACTTCTTTGTGCAGGGTCTGCAAGAGAAGATCAAATTAGTTCCTATTGATCTTCAAAATAGGCCAGATTGGTACAAGGAAAAAGTCTACCCACCAAATAAGGTTACATTCTCAACCATAATTAATTGTTCGGAAAATACTGTTTGGTAATTTCTGTGTTCCTCACTCTCTTCTTAAAATTGTAGAAATTTATATCTATCAAAAGAGGAAAAAATCACAAAATCTGTTGAGAGCCCTCTTGTTTCATGGATTATGATATTTGTGGATTCTTTTCTTTTTTCCTTTTCAAAATTAGTAGGTGCCATCACTGGAGCACAATAATGAAATTCGAGGAGTGAGTCTTGATTTGCTAAAATATATTGATAGCCACTTTGAAGGACCGGCTCTTTACCCTGATGTAAGTAGTATTATTTCGAAATCAAAAAAATGTTGCCCAGTTTTCGGGTTGCTCGGGTTCAATTTGTCCAGGTTACACCCCAAAGCAAGATCATGTTTGGCTTAAAAACATTATATGCCCAAGTACAGGTTAAACAGTGACCAAGCGAATTTCGAGGCTAAAAGAGTAGGCAGTGCAAACTTCTTGTATTACCAGTATGAAATATGTAGGCCAATCCTAGTGCAGAATTTAGAAATTTAACATTTTATATGAATCATAATGTGACCCGCTCTAATAAACCTTGACAGGTACTGCTTTTGATTACCTCGAATCAGCTCTCTTCAAATTTACTGATGGACCTTTCTTCCTTGGTTAGTTCAGTCTAGTAAGTTAGTTGCAATCTACTAATTTGATATTGGTTTTCCATCTTTACTGTTCTTATATTTAAAATTATTATGTATTACTTGAACTACAAATGCAGTTGTGTTATGCATTGTAGTCAAAGAAGTGCGAACTAATATATACTTTCCAAGAAGTTGGTGAATATATAGTCAATTTGTAAATTGTAATGGAACCCCTAATCTATGTCAAAATTTCTATGTTGCAAGTCGACATAGCATATGCTCCATTCATAGAAAGATTTTATCCCTTATTGCTGGATGTAAAGAAATATGACATCACTCCAGGAAGAAATATTTTATCAATCCCCAATCTTTTTTTTTTTTTTATGTCGTTATGATTTACCTTTTAATCATGATGAATGGATAAAACTATTTCCCATTCATCCCTGAGGCATAGTCAATCTTTTTTATTAGTAACTTCTATGCTAAAACATGATTTTTGGATATATGTTAATTTGTGGTTAATGTTAAAACATGATTTTTGAATTTTGGAAATGTTATTTTGTAGGTAATGGTGATTGGATATTAATTGAATGAGATACTGAATTAATGTTTCATTTGTTATTTGAATGGAGTTATTATTTTATATGTTAGTTTTATTACAGGTATTTAAATGGGAGTTAATATTTTATATTTTAGTTTTATTACAGGCATTTTTTAAATTCAATCAAATAAAATTAACACAATTTCCAAAAAAAAAAAAAAGAGGGAAAGGGATATGACGGCGTTTCTACAAATGCCTCCTAAGCCCTAAATACTGACGGTCATATTTTTTAAAACAGATATTATGGCGTTTTCAAAACGTCGCTAAATATTGTTGGTGACGTCAGTGTGCGAATAGTAGGACATTTAGCGGCGTTTTTTTAAAACGCCTCCTATACTAATATCACAACGTTTTTGAAACGTCAAAAAGTTACAGCGACGGCCGCATCTTCGACGCTTAGTACTAAACGTCACAAAAAGAATTAGCGGCGTTTTTGATAGATTTAGCGGTGTTTTTTAAACGTCACTAAAAGTTCAATTTCCAGCTGTGATGGATCCCTCCATCACCATGTTAACTGACCAAACTTCTTTGTATATAAGGCTATGTCAACTTACCAAACATGCCCAAGTGCACGTTTTGTAAAATAAGATATCAAGAAAAATGACTTGACCAGCTTCCAAAATTAGAACAGAAAATAAAATAGAGAGCAAAAGTTATGTAATGAAATGGACTTACATAGAATAGTGTAGTATTTACATAATTTCTACTTTGTTAAGAACTTAAGAGGTAATTGGAGTATCTATGGATCTAGATGGCAAAATTAGTGCAGACATCTCCATACTTGGAAGGTCCCTTTCATCCAATGTAATGTTTTAGATGCACAAAGGTAATTAAGTTGCATGCTATACAAATATATCACGGACTTCAAAAACTGAGGCTTGGACACTGGTCAGGTTGCGCTGAAGTTCCTATCTGCTACAACCTCTCAAAATCAAATGGATAAACTTTTCATCAATTCCTAACAAAAAAGAGAGTATCAAGTCTCATCTTCCATTCCTACCCAATGTAACCATCCACGTACAAAGTGAAAACAACTTCCAGCTATTCCTTCGGCAGGCCTAAAAAACAAAAAAGCATAGCAAATTACAAATACCATACCTTTGGGATCATTAATGGTTTTAGATTCAGTGCAGCAAATCAGAAGCACTTGCTGTCTCAATGACAGTCTTGGTATTGTTGGGCACTCAAAATCTTGTAGCTCATTGAAGAATGATCCAGTAACCAAGCGATAAATTTGACCATCACAAGTCCGACCTATTCTCCCCTTGCGGTGGTTAACCTACAGCATATATCTTTGAAGTTATCACAACTGAAAAAAACTTCAAATTCAAACCAATAGGGTTCCAAAATACCTGAGATTTAGAAACCCAAACAAGCTCTGCAGATTCATTCTTCCTATTACTGTCCCAGAGAACTCGTAAAGAATGGCATGAATCAATGACAAATATCTTGTAGCTCATTGAAGAATGATCCAGTAACCAAGCGCTAAATTTGACCATCACAAGTCCGAACTGTTCTTCCCCTGCGCTGGTTAGCCTACAGCATATATCTTTGAAGTTATCACAACTGAAAAAAACTTCAAATTCAAACCAATAGGGTTCCAAAATACCTGAGATTTAGAAACCCAGACAAGCTCTGCAGATTCATTCTTCCTATTACTATCCCAGAGAACTCATAAAGAATGGCATGAATCAATGACAAAGGCTACTTTGGGAATTGTAACAGAAGATTCTGCAATATTAGTGGCCAAAATTACCTGCACCATTAAGAACTTTGAAAAAACAGCCAAAACCACACCACGATGTATAATTAATGCAAGAAGCCTCCAATTCAGGAAGAATTAAAATCAATATAACGATTGGCAGAAGAAGAAGAAGATTAAAACAGAGCTCTTTAAACACATTTAACAAATTCCAACACTCGTGATGGCTATATCCCTCAATCTCCTTCATATGATTTCTAAACTAGGTATCTACAGCCCCCTTCCTCAATCAATCACGCACAAATCCCTTCAGTTCTTCACATGGAAATGAAATAGAATTAACAAAACTATGTCATACAAATTTTACCTTTCACAAAACAGGCAAAACATTTACCATTATTTCAATCAAAATTCAAAGAAAATCTATGTCAAGAAGTTAAGTCACCATATAAAGTATAAACATGTAGGGAAGTCATTGTGCAATAACAGATGCGGAAGCAAGAGGTAAAAATTTCCACCCACACACCCCCGATAAAAAAAAAAAGAAATGTAACTGAAAAGGAAAACATTTCTTACCTTACGACAGGATTTCCAAATTTTCATGGCCGTGAGAGCATGTTCAATGTCAATACTACAATGTAAAATGTGAACTTTAAAGGAAATACTAAAAGGCTTCAGAAGGCACCATTGCTGCTCAAGCGCATATTATGTTGGAAGAAAGACCAAAATGCTCTTTTCAATGTCTGGCTCATTTTTATGAATGTGCAACACCAAGTCATGTATAAGTCTGTGCACTTCAGGCTTAATATCAGCATCAGCAACAACAGTGCTTGGCCCAGAACAATATTTCAAAGACAGAAGTTCTGAACTTATTCCGAGAAGTTCAGATACCTGTTCAGCCAACACTTTAAGAGTATAAAAATCAAATATAGCTGAAAAGGTATGTAGTGCAACAACAAACTATGCTGGAAGTACATAATGCAGTTACAAATTAACATACAAGCTGTAAAGCCTAAAATTTGGTGGTTTGGGGGAGTTCTCATTGGGCATGGTAGTTCTCGCTACTACTAGTTCCATGGAGGTTTCATGAGCAGATACTAGCGCTTGGAAATCCATGCCAGATTGCAGAATATCATTGTACTTTCCAGATTGCACAATTACCCCATCTCGCATTACCTGGTTTTGAAGAAGAAAAAATAGAGGTCAATATTTCAGGCAAAAATAAAAATAAAAATAAAGAAATTTGTGTTGAGATTTGAATAATGAATCATACTTACCAAGATAAGATCAATATTATGCAAGAAGTCAACTTGGTGAGTTACGAGTAGAATGGTCTTATCTTTGAGGACTCCCCTCACATATTCCTGCCAGACAAGCATGAAGAAAATTTTAAGCTAAGTTTCATCACATGAAAAGTACTGTTTTGACATGGTTAAAAATTTCTAATTAACTTCACCAACAATAACTGAAAATCACATGTTTCTCAGTTTGTTTAACAGCATTGTGAGAGAAGTAAAGGTCTTAAACGATATAATTATTCAAAATCTAAAAGAATTGTTTGCAGAAAAAGCACGAAGCATGTAAAAGCATTGACAAGTGGCAACATTTAATGCATCCAAAATTTGCCACACATCAAGGGCTTGATTTTTTAAAATGAAACAAAGTAGTATTTAGCCTTATATTTCATTGTTTTCAAGCAAAATTGTAAGTATTCAGGTTCCTCATGTTAAGAACCAAATTTTGGCAGGACTTTGCTTTCAATGATGAACCTATCTCCACAATTTCATATGTATAGAAATGAATAGTGTCGTATCAATGAAATGCATAAACTAGGGGGGGAAATTCTAATAAATACAGTAAACCTTATTGTCACCTTGAATATTTCAGACCTAGTGTGAGCATCTACAGCACTGAATACATCATCAAGAAGATATATATCTCAATCCTGATAAACAGCTCTAACAAGTTGCATCTGCTGCTTCTGACCACCACTGAGGTTTATGCCAAGCTCTCCAATTTCAGTCTGATCTCCAAACTCGACCATTTCCAAATCTTTCTCCAAGCAGCAGACCCTAATAACTTCCCTATACTTCTCCTTATTCATTGGTGAACCAAATAGGATGTTATCTTGAATGGTCCCGTTTTGAATCCATGATGTCTGCGCAACATAGGCAGTGGTGCCACAAACCCTAGCCTGTTAAAGAGTAAAATCAGATATGCTTGTTAAATTATAAAATTAACCAATAAATACAAAGCAATGAAAGAAAAAATACCCTAAAAAAACATGAAAATTCAGACCTTCCCGGATATTTTGTGCATCTCGCCAAGAATTGCAGCCAGGAGAGAAGACTTCCCTGATCCAACGGTCCCAATAATAGCTGCAAGCTCACCTTTTTTGATCTGCAAATTTAAATTTTTTATAATTTGTTCCCCACCTTCATCATCCCAACTAAAAGCTCCGTCTTTCACCTCCACTGCAATCCCACCCCCACAAACTTCCTCTCTCTCCACTGACTCATCAACCAGCTCCTTACTTATCATGTACTTGTCCAACCTCGCCAGAGAGATCATTGCTTGAGATATTGAGTTCATAGACTGCGGGAAAGTCCTGATTGGTTCCTGGAGAATCTTAAAGAGTGTTGTCGTAGTGAAAACAGTCCCTGCATTGAGTGGAACCCCCAACAAAATTGCAGTACCAAAGGTAAGAGTGGATATAAGTACCAGTGTACTCCATAAAACGATGATATTGCCAGATATTGAGTACATGAACTTGGTTAGCCACCCAAATTCTGATTCGTGAAACGATTGAATTCGTTTGTTGAAGTGCTCTTCCCATGCCTGGAACTTAATTACGCGCATGTAATTAAGCATCTCATTTGTCACATTCTCTCTAGAGTCCCGGTTTTTATCACATTGTGTTGGAACCAGTTGTTCCTTCGAGTGCCTATCAAAACAAACAACATAACCACTACAAGCCCAACTAGAGCTGTAATTGTCGAGGTACCAAAGCAGCGAGACAGAAGTATTAAGGCAACAGAAACTTGCAGTGGCATAAGCCATACAGCATGTAGCTGCAGCATCATATCAGAGAGCTGCTGAGCATCTACTGCCATGTAATTTACAATTTATCCAACCCCATGAGCCTGTCTAGCCGAACACGACATCCTCATGCCCTTCTTGTTCAAAGAAGTAATGAGGGCAGATTGAATGGGCATTCCAAGCTTTTGAGAATTAAAGTTGAATTGGTGAGAGGTCAAAACTTCCACAAATTTAGCAATGAGGAGAGTGAAATCAACAAAACCCTGAATAAGAACAGGCCCAACATACATGACACAAAGACACACAATTGCAAGGAAGGCAGTGAAAGCGATTCCCTCCAGAAGCACCGAAGCAGCATGGTTCGAACAGGGTGCTTCGATTTTTCATGAGGCTCCGGCCAGTTCAATTCGAAGAGTGCAGACATTCTTTCAGCTCTATGTTCTGGCAAAAGGGCTGGGATATCTTCAGACTTGAGAGGAGATTTATAGACCTTACCCAGTAAGGGATTCATCCAAAGCCAAAAAGCTTTGGAAATGATAGAAGACTTGGCAAAGCCACTCACATTGCATCCATTCAAAAGGGGTTCATATAATTCAGGTTCTACATCCATAACTGAATCGGATTCGCTCCTCACAGTAATCCTGGTTGATCCTTTTATGGCAACCATAAGGAGTACAATTGATAACAGAAAAGAAATGAATGAAATTATATCATCCAGTCTCAAAACAAAATCAAGTTCTTCTATAGGGATTACACGAATAACCCCGGAAACACTGAACAGAGAAATGATGATGAAATTTGCAACCCAATAAATTCGAAGCGGCAAAGGATGAGAAACGGCTTGGAATCTCCTCTCATGGACAATCAATATTGTAATTGTTACATGATTTAGCTTATCTTCCAACTGGGGTATTTCTAACAAATGCCAGAATGCACAAAATTATGTATGCCAATGCTAATAGAACTGTTACAATTAGAGACAGTTTAAACCACAAAGTAGTTCGATGAACAACAACTCTTCCATTTCGATGAGAGGCTTGTTTAGAATAGAGTTTTTGAATTGAAAACACAGTAAGTGCTAGCAAAAACAGGATATCAATAGAAGATAGAAGAGCTCTTTGAGGGAATGGTGAGAGGAAGATGAACCTCAGCCATTGAAAGATGGGTGAAAGAGCTGTGTCCTCTGAGGATTGTGCCACAGAGCTTGAGCATGAAAAGGATGTGATCCAAGAGGAAGGAGACATGTTCACAAATTTTGTGTCAAACCATACAAATCTACTTTCTATGCTTCACTCTCACAAATCTCCATTCCCTAATTCTCTGTGAAGGGGGAAAAAATAATAAAGTAATATATTAAATACAATTCCATGAAAACTGCAAAATTGTAATAGACTTCCAATCCAACATGATGCTATCAGAAATAACAATACATTTTTTCTTTCAATTTTTTCCATCAAATAAAGTGTATACTTGAGAGGGTAATTTATGTGTAAATTGGGCCGAGCTGGGTAATGGGTCATTCTGTGGACCACAGTAAGAAGGGCTAAGAAAAAGGGCCTAGAAGTTAGCCCGGTCCAAGAAAGCTCTGCAGTTAGCTCGGTCACCACACTTAGAACGGTAACAGTTAGCTCGGTCATACCATATTGAGCCAAAGTATGTTGAGCTTTCCTCAGAACCTTGCTATTGGTTAGCTTGGTCCAAGCTCGATGTGATTAGTGCGGTCTCAGACAACCCAGTTGGAATATGTCTAACCGAGGTACACGCAGTGGAAGGAAGAACCGAGCTAGTGGGAGCTCGGTCTAGTCTGCGGCTTTAGCATAGCCATGTTATCTCGGTCGTATTGACATCCAACCATGGTAGAACCATCTCACTTGGTTTAAGCAGTGAGAGGGGTGTTGAAAGATGAGCATTATCTTTAGGAAGGTAATTCCTACGAGGACTCTACATGGAGAAGTAAGAGTCCTACTTGGATTGTGCCACACGGAACCTATAAAAGCTCACAACATCACCTATGGAGAGGTAACACAACTTTGATTCTCGAATACACAAAGCTTTTGCCTATTTCTCTATTTCACTGACTTAGGCATCGGAGAGGTATCCGGCACACACCCGCCGGCTAGCTCACATTTGCGTTTTCAGGGAGTAAAGCGACGTCGTTTGGGGAAGCGCGGACTTGATCAACAGCATTATACGAGAAGATTATTTCTTGCTCATACAGTACTAAAGATTTAAAACTATTTACCATCCAAGAACCATTTAAAATACAATTGATAAACATAGAAAACCATTCAAATCTATTTTGCTTTTTAATGGCACTACACGCATCAATTAATATATCAATTAGTGTATCATCATATGTTATGATATTATCACTTTAAAATTATAGATCTCACCCAATATACCCAATATACAAATTATAAAGAATCAAAACTTATAAAACTATGCAACATCAATTAGTACATATAACTTTATTGTTTGCCTTTTTATTCTTTTTTGAGTAACCATTTAAAATACAATTCATCATAAACCCAGAAAAGCACTTAAATAAAAAATTAAAATAAAAACAAAAACAAAAATACCCAATAATATCTTCATAGCTAAAGAAGCAAAATCATCAATGGTGATTGGAACAAAGGCTTCTATACAGGAGCTTAAATTACAACCCAGAGTATAGTAACAAATAAAATTACTCGACAACCCAAACGCTAACCACCAGACATTCGAGCAGTCCTTGCTAGTAGGGCAAGAAGGTCTTCTTCTTCATCTCCTTCGCTTGTGCTCTATTCGCAGTGTAATACAACTCGTGAGCCGACGGCGGAACCCTACGCTTGATCGGGTTTTTTGGGAGAACTTGTTTTCTTTTTCTTTTGCTTTGCGTTTCCGTTTCCTTGCGATTCTTTTCCTTCTCGTCCCTTGAAGATGATGAGCAAGTGAAGACCTTGAATATCCACTTGTTCGAGTTCCTTGCAGACGATGAAGACCTTGAAGACAAAGCAGAGCCTGACGGTGTTGTCTCGATTGACGGAGTTTCAGCTTCTTTGTTCTCAGAATCTTCCAACTCCAGAATGCAATGATGATGATGATGAGAGGCCTCATTTTCTTCATGTTCTTGCCATTGGAACTGTGCTGTTCGTAGTGGTGACATCGGCCGGATCTGACCATTCAAGAACAACTCGTCGGCGGAACTCATACCGCTCAGTGAGAACCCACAAGAAAATTCGAACTCGAATGAGCCGAGGCTTGAAGGTGCGGAGACGTAGGGAGTGGAGGAGTGAAGGTCGACGTTTGCTTCACCGTTGTTACTGTTTGAAAAGAGTATTATTGGTGCGTGATCGAGAGTAAAAATGATAAATGACCCCCACAACCACATGTCGAGGGATAGGAGGGGGGAAAAATAAAAAATAGAAAGTAAAATGTTGATAAATTCAAATACATTGGGGTGGTGGGGATTTTCCGAGAGAGAGAGAGAGATGGGGTGGGCTTAGGGACTGAAACGAGTTTGACTGGCTTGTAGGACACACAATAATCAGACAAAAAGCTCTGTGAACGAGGAGAGAATGCATATATGGTTATGCGCTGTGCTTCCAACAAATAATGGAATTCAATTTTTTTAAAATTAATTTTTTATTTTTTTATATTCTTATTTGGCAAAATTATTCAAAAATTCCATTTTAGAAAATGTTGCTTCATTTAGTTTTGGATGTTTCCTTCTAAACCAATTAGGTATGTTTTCCTTTATGGTATGTTGTTTTAGTTTAATTTATAAGTTTTGGAGTTTACTTATTTACTACCAATCAAATAGGCAAACATAATATATATTTGCCTCTCTCAATAATAGAATTAAAGGTTTTGATGGTGTTTGTTCTGTAAATAATATATATTTAATGTATCTCACGATTAATTTAAGTAGAAAATGTGTTAAATTCTTTTTAATGCCTTTTAAATGTTTGATGTGAGACTGATATAAGTATTTTTAATATATTTTACTTAGATGAGAGTTGGAGAAAGCAAGTAATGTCTGTCAATAAGAATACTCTGATGACTAACTCAAATGAGTCGTTTTCTTTTATAAATGCATGTTAATGTTATGGCTATTAAGGGTTTATTTTGAGGGTGTTACAAGAGTTGGAGAAAGAGACTAAATTGAATTAATGAATGAAATTTAAGGATGTAATTGATACAAATTAAATATTAAAGGGTAAGTTACATTGACACCCCCTGAGGTTTACATTTATTACAGTTCTCCCCTTACCTTTTGGAAATTACATCCCCTCCCTAAGGTTTAAAGTTTCATTACAAATTGCTCCCTCTAGCAATTTAATTTTTTTAATACCAATTTTTCCCTCACTGGGTAAATTACATTGACTCCCCTCACATTTTAGAAATTACAATCCCCTCCCCAAAGTTTAAAGTAGTATTACCAATTGCCCCCTCTAGCGATCCTGGTTCTTCCTTCTTTGCTTGTTGTATCCGGACTTAGGTTCCATGGAGTTGGTTGTTGTATATGTCTTGCTGTCATCCATTAATTCCACATATTTGAGTTTTAGGATGCATTGGGCGTGTTTTGAACAGGTTAGTTGAGCTTTAGTCCCATTCCTTGTTGCCCAGATTTTTGGTGGTCCGCTCGAGTGGGTCCCTTTGCGCTCGAGCGGAGTTTACACACTTTTAGCATTTTGTGCCTCTGCAAAACTCCTGCAGGTGCGTTTTTCACGCTCAAGCGGATTTCCTTACGCTCGAGCGGGTTGCGCTCGAGCAGGCCTCTTGGCGCTCGAGCGGGTGTTCAATGTCTGTAAAAATACTGGGAGAGGGTAATCTACGCTCGAGCGGGTTTCCCTTTGCGCTCGAGCGGGTGATTTTTGATTTTGTGTCTTGGCGTTCGAGCGGGTCCAGTTTTTGGTGTTTGACGCTCGAGCGTCCTATTCTCCGCTCGAGCGGGATAGTCGTATATCAGATGACAGCTGGGTGATTTTGAATCATTTTTCACATTTCCTTTCTCTCTCTTACTTTTCTAAACCCTCTTTTGAGAGCTCCTCTCTCTAGAATATACCTTCTCTCTAGGAATTGATCTAGCTTGAGTGATCTACTCCCTTAGTGTCTTTGCAAAGAGTGTAAAGCTTGGCTTGGGCTTCCTATCAATCCGAAAATCTTGGGTTTTGGAGCATTTCGAGATTTCTTCACCATCTCCTTTTGGTCTCATCTCTTGAGGTAGGGATAACTACTCATTTTATGAGCTTTAACATAGATGTTGAGCTTTTTGTATAAATGGCTTGATTTGGAAAGTTAGGGTTTGAGATGTGTTATATTGGAGTTTACTTATTTACTATCAATCGGCATACATAGGTCAAATAAATAGATAAATATACAAAACATATATATAAGTTATATGCAACTCAAATGGTAAGAGTCTTATATATTAATCTTGTGGTCTAGATTTCAAGTCACACCCTCCTCTCTTTCTCTATATATTTTTTGTAATAAATCTTGCCTCTGAATTAAATGCTTTCACCACAAATTTATTTTAAGTTTAAAATTAATTAAAAGATCCTCCAATAATATTTAATTTGCACCTTAGAATTCACCACCAAAATATTTTAGATTGTAATATTATTATTTAATTATTTACTTAATTTTTATATTCGGGTTCTCACACCATTGATACAGCAAATATGTATATCTATTGTGAAGTATGGAAGTGTTTGAATGTGTTATTGACACAACACATATGTGTATCTATTGTGGATTATGGAAGTATTGTTGATATGAGCTATAGTCTCATTAAATTATTGGCCAAGTTCTGAGCCTTATTCATAAATTGCGAACTGGATAAGTAATGGAAAATGGAATGAAACATGGACATATTTGTCATGTAATTGAAATGAATTATGAATTGATTTATGTGAGTTAAACATTTATCAAATGTTCATGTTTTAGTTATTGCTCATATTATGTTTAGCATATCTCTACTGGGCGTTGGCTCACCCTATATGGGACATCATTTTCAGGTACATGTACTATGCCACCTCCAAGGACGTAGCTTGGGAGGCTTGAGGCTGTTAGACCCTTTTGTTGTTTTTGTTGTATTACATGTATTTCAAGCCAAGGGCTTACTTTGTGTGGAGTTAGTACTCTCCCTTTGTAACCAAGTGTTGACTTGGAAAGTTGTAAGCCTATAGGGCATTTACTTTTGTTGTCAACATGTAATACCTATTGAAAGAATACTCTGATGATTGTAATATGAAATCTCTTTTCTTTATCGTGAATGTATGATGTTATGGGTTTATTTTGAGGGCATTACAACTTGGTATCAGAGCGTACCGGGTTCGAATACTTTGGGTACGCGGGAAGTGGTTAGTACCACAATGGGTTCGTCTTGCTTGATAGAGACTCAGATGTAGTGTTATATGCTTATGTGACAACATGCTTATGTGACTATTTGGGTATGGGATTTAGTTTCTAGGATGTTGATTGGATCCTTGGGTTTCTGTGAGTCTTGTTGGAAAAGCACTTGATCAGTGCTGTTTCTAACCGGAACTCTAATAACACCTCGGGACTATCATTATCCAAAAATGAAATTCGTAGGCGCTTATGTGCTTATGTGCTTACGTGGAATGAATTACAGTTGTCCAATGCTTTAGGACGCGAGTGTTATAGCTTCGGCACATTTGTGAATGTGCTAATGTTCTTCGTTACCTTTATTAGGATGTCAGGACGAGGACGTGGTGGTACGCGAGGTAGGCCTAGGAGGCAGGAGATTCCTATACCGGATGAGGTTCCGGCGCAGCAGGAGGGTGTTGGTTAGGCCAATGTGGCCGTGCCAGTGGGTCAGCAGGCCATCGGTGCCTTAGCCCGCGAGATAGCAGGAGCTATGAGGGAATCCATTGGCATTCTTAGAGTTGAGAATCCAGTTCAGGCCCAGGTTGTTGATGCAGGGCCTTCCTTTCTAAAGAGGGAGTTCTTCCGGTCTAATCCGGATGAGTTTGTTGGGGATCCTAAGGAGCCACTTAAGGCAGATGAGTGGTTGGAGCAGATGACTAAGACATTTGAGATGATTTGCATCGAAGACGGGGCATTGAAGGTGACCTTGGCATCTTTCCAGCTTAAGGGGGATGCGGGTCAGTGGTGGAAGCTCATGAGAGGTCGTGTTGGAGGGACTTGGGATGCCTTTGTAGAAGCTTTCCAGGAAAAGTTCCTGTCTCCAGCTGTCAGGGAGAAGCTGAGGGACCAATTTTGTCAGCTTAAGTAGCTGAGTTTATCAGTGGCCGAGTTTGAGGCTGCATTTACTAGCTTATCCAGGTCCGCACCTAAGCTTGTGGCATCTGAGGAACGCCGGTGTATCGAGTTTAAGAGGAAGTTGAGACATGGCCTCAAGATGAGAGTTAGGGGTTCTATGACTCGGGACTATGGGCGCCTCGTGGATGTTGCGGCCCATATGGAGATTATGATGTAGGAGGAGGATGAGAGGATGAGGGGCTCCAAGAGCAGTCAGGATGGTCAGGGGGACGGTAGGAGGCAGAGGGGTCCTAACGCTCAGCAGTCCCAGGGTGCTTTCACTAGATCAACCTTTCCAATGCCGAGTGCAGGCTCTGAGAGAGGCAGTCAGGGAGACATCACCTATTACGAATGTGGTCAGCTGGGCCACAAGTCTCCAGCTTGCCCGCAGAGGGGAGGAGGGCAGAGAGCGGCTTCATCTTCGGCTCTATCTCAGAGCCAGAGTCAAGGCAGAGGCCAGCCGTTTTCTTGCTATCAGTGTGGTCAGGCAGGGCACCTGAAGAGGTTCTGCCCGCAGTTGAGTGGCACATTGTCACGACCCAAACCCGCCCCTATGGGTTTAGCACCGTAACCGGCAAGTAATCCAAGATTACCGAAGGTCTGCTTAACAGTAATACAGTAATACAAAGTACAGGGGCTGGCGAAAGCCAATACAGTAAATAAACAATGTCCAATGAGCTGTGACAGTCTGTATGCAAAAAGTCTTTTCATTCAAATATATACAGTCAGACAAAACAGTATGTACATATATACAATCGTTCAGTTCAGGGACCTAATCCCTATTAAACAGTACCGTACAGTAAACAAAACAGTTACAGAGACAGAAGGGGGAACTAAAACACCCTTAAGCCATAGCTTGACAGGCTCGGAACCTCGCATTGAGGCACATAGGTTGGCTCAACAAAACTGGAGTTTACCCCGACGCTTCTAGCTGCGGTCTAGTGGCTGTACACCTATATATATATATGAGCAGTGAGCTAAAGCCCAGTGAATAACACAATGCGTAAAGGGGTTAAGAATGAATGTCCTTACAGTAATGAAAACAGTTCATTAAATCAGTATTTCAGTCGTTCAGTCAGTACAGTCATATGTGGTACATCC